CGTTACATTTGAGATAAAATAAATAAAGGGATTGAGGATGTTGGAGGGTTATTTGGTCACAAAATGCTGCTTAAGATAAAGTAAGTAATTAGTAAAGCAGCAAATAAAAATCTTTTCGCATTCAGGAGAATACAAGATTTTTATTAGAATTTGTTTAAATATATGCTGTCGACTGGTAAAAATTTATTAAATCAATATCTGCTGCATATTTAATTATAAGCAAATAAATTAAAGTGTTAAGCTAGGAACTAAAAATTACTTTCAAAATTTTTTTTCCCAATGAGATTGATTGACGCGGCAATACAATTAAGCTTGACGTGACGTTCATTTGGGGATTTTATGCATTAAAATGAATTTTTTCTAAGTTCATTTACTTCTGCGATTTGCTAACACCCCTTTTACGTAACATTAGTAATTTTAGGATATAGATTTCAATGACCTTGAAAAGCGTTTTAAACGAGATTGCATAAGCAATTTTATTATATAAAAGTAGAAAAATACATTGAGTGAAAGGTGAAAGTGTAAGCAAATGGTTATTACTCTCTTAGTTTTGGTTTTGCTGCAAATAGGCTCGTTTTATGAAAAGGAGGGTAAATGATTTGACCAAATTGTGGCTTCTCTCATACATGAGCTCAGAAACAAAACAAGAAAAAAAACAACTGTGGTGAAAAAACGGAGCTGTGTTAAGTCGAAATGAGAGTCGTTTTGTTGGAGCTAACAACCCACAATTTTTGTGAGGAAAAAACATAATAAATAATAATATATAATAATAATAATAAGATATAAGGTTGTAAGAACTTCAAGTGTTGTAAAATGGAACCAGCAAAGCAAATGATCTACAAATATTTTATTGGCATAATTATCTTAAAAAAGACAGGGTTACAGATTTCGAAGTTGTTGCACATTCTAACTAACAAAAAAGTTGGTTTTAAAAATAGCAATCATCAAAATTGATCGATATGCGCGATTAGAGCTACCTTCAGTAATATTCCAAAATTACCATTTTATTACATTAGTATAATAATAAAAAAAACCCTTGACGAAATAAAATTTAACAATTTTATTTAACAACTTGATGAATATTCACAGAAAGTTATTTTTTTCAAATTGTCGGCTTTATGATATTTATCAATAACACTTAAACTTTGACTTCAGCTTCCCCTAAGAGGGGGAAAGTACATAAGCTTTGACTTCAGCTTCCCCCAAGGGTGGGGGGTACATATGTTGACTTCAGCTTCCCCCAAGAGGGGGGGGGTACATTTAAAGCAGTTAATTAATAGCAGTTCATTAGCAGTCTTCTTGCTTACCTTAAACTTTGACTTCAGCTTCCCCTAAGAGGGGGAAAGTACATATATAGCAGTTAATTAATAGCAGTTCATTAGCTGTCTTCTTGCTTTCCAGTATTTCTGGCTTCTCGTCCTTGTCTTTAGAGCTGGACACCGAATCAGGTGGGTCTTCTCCATTTCCTCCTGTAGGTTACATATGCGGCATGTGGGTTAAGTGTATACTTCCACTCTGTGAAGATGTTTTGCCAAGCAGTCGTGTTCGGTACGTAATCTAAACTCAGCAACGGCTTCGATTCTTGGCCAGTCTGCTATGTCGGAGAGTGACACTGTTCACGGTTTCTCCTTTATTTGAGCTTTAAGTTTGTTGCACCTGGAGGTCTTGAATTCTCTCCTGATTAATGTCTTCATTGTGTGGAACGAGATTGGCTGGTCTATGTCTTGCAAAATCGTTGTCTCCTTCTCAGCATGTGCGTCAGCAAGGTCATTGCCTTTAATGCCAGAGTGACCAGGAATCCATTGTATGACCACTATTTTGTTTTCCCTTTCAGCAGCTCATATAATTCTTTTTGCATTCGTATATCTCAGCTGTTTGGGTGGCCCTCTGTTTCTAAATGTGTTTATTGCTGACTGTGAGTGCGAAAGTATCACCGCTTTGGTGAATTTCGTATCCAGGCAACATAATTGACCTAGTGCTATCCTAATGGTCTCTTTTCTATTGTTTTGAAAGGGAAGAGTACAGAATAAACATATGCAACAACGTTTGATTGGTTTTCTATTTATGACTCACCAGTGATGACTTGGAGCCATTGATCTGCAGGATAGTTGACATAAATTGTCTCAAAGGCCAGTGAGCGCATTTGCTCTGAAGGGGTGTTTGATTTCTTGAATAAGTCAAACAGTTGGTTGCTACTGGTTCATAGGGAGATAGGCTTTTTGGTTTGTCATCGATTCGTAATGCAATAGCTTTCTGTATTAGACCAGATTGCGTTTTCAGATGTCCAGGTCTATTCTCATAGAGGCCGAATAATTTATTTAGTAGCTTCTCATACAGGATCAAGGCCTTTTCTTTGATGAGGTAGCTTCTCATACAGGATCAAAGCCTTTTCTTTGATAAGAGGCCATATTGTGGTGCTTCCTGTAACAAAGAGTATTACATCAATGGGTGTTAATTTTTCCCTCCAGTAATTAGTCGTAATGCATGGTTGTGTGCCTATTCGAGTGGTTTAAGAGTGACCACAGTGGCTGTAATGAGTGGTTTAAGAGTGACCACAGTGGCTGTAATGAGTGGCTCACAGCAATACAACATTATTTGCTGAATAAACATCTTGTTTGTGGTGTTAAGAGTTGAGCGTACACAGACAAATTCGCTAACAGCAAGACGATTGAGTACATTCAGTTTATTGGAGACTCGTTCTGCTATTTTATCCTTGCGATTTTTACATGCTAGCCTTGTGTCAAACGTCATTCCGAGATATGTGATATTGGAGTGATATTGGAAACGATTAGATCGAAATCAAGGATCATGTCCCTGATGTGTTGAAGTGTATTTCATATCGGCTATTTTGTGGCACATTCATGAGATGATATTGGAATCTCTACATCGGTTTGCATAAACACCAACACTTTGTTCTTATAGAAATAAAAGTTTAACGGCCGATGTATTAAACAGGTTGCCATTTTGAACTAACATCTCAAGATCAAATTGACTTACACTTTTCTTTTGTCAATTAGAAGATACATACATATATTTGTTAGAAACATCAATCCTCTTAAGTGAAAACTTGGTCCAAACCAAACCTTGATACTCACAAACATTATATATAAACAATTTGCTAAATGTGTTTGCTTAACCTGAGCAATGCAATTTTAGTCAGCTTCATATTTGCCGATTTGCCTTCCTAACGATTAATTCAGGTGGGTCTTCCTGAGTTGTGTGAATTTAAAGAAAGGCCTAAAATGATTTTTTCCCATATTTATTAATTTTTTTTCTATTCTGGCCATTCTCCATTGTTCTTAATAACTAAGATTGTAAATATTGACTAAAAGAATTTCAAAATTTAACAGTTTTGAATAATCAAAACATTGAGTCATTATGAAGGTTTGGCCTCTCCGATTAGGAATATGATATAGTGTCATCGCTAGTATTCATTCATCTCATTTATCACAATACACTTGTGGGACACGTTTTCTTAACCTTTTTAGGCACCCGCAAACGCTCTAGGGGGGGAGTTATGTGGGACACGTCATCGTTTGGTCAACATCACGTTCAAACTCGCGTACGGACCGGGTGCGTCGACCTCACCGACATTAACCAATCAGAGACGCCCATTTGTTTTACCGTATCCGCCATGTTGATAATGACTAAGCTCCTTCCTACACACACCGCTGATGTGCTACATCGTAAATAAACGTATCTCTTCTCGCTCGCCTCTTGCCTCCATAGCTTTGCAATAGCAGCTAGTTTGAGAGGCTCATCGATTGTAGAGATAACTGAGTACAGTCTAGGCTTATTGGTGTAACAGTCCGCTACAGACTACACTGCAACAAATACCCTTATTATGAAAATAAAATGAAGTATCAGTAATCTCAATTTATATGATGTAAACGAATTCAAATTTATTGCAGATAATATAAATAGAATAAAAGTAAATTATGAAGTAGACTCAAGAGCGATGTGATTGTCATTTTAGTGGAAATTCTTGTGCCGCAAATAAAAGTCATTCCTAGAATAGAGAACACAGCTTTGTCTGTTCCAGTATGTTCAAGAATTGAGTCAACATCAAATGTGAAAACGGTTTCGACAATGCTCGATGCACCTTCACCGATCATAAACTGGATATCGATAATAAATAAATCACTTTTGTTAGTATTTGCAGCAGAGAGAGGAGGTTCTTAATTCTACTTCACCATTTCACTGATTCGATTGCGCTGTTTTGTTAAACAAGTCTCTCGATCGATTTTAAAAGTTTCTAAATTCGATATTTAATTTTTCATGACGGATTCCAACTACATGTCCTGTGTTAAGGCATTTCCGGCTGCATAATAAGTAAGGCAAGAAAAGCTTTATAATAAAATCAGTAGCATACAAGTCGAAGTTTCTTTTCTTTGGGTAATTTGGAGAAAAAGTTAATTGATAGCACACAGATATCGAATTCCACTTCCTTTAACTCTAAGCGCTTGTTCATAAGTATGCGCATACTTGAGTGCATTCAAATATCTCTTTGAAAATTATAATTTCAGCAAATATCTGATATGAATGTGGTTCTTTTCACCGTGAATTTATAGGCGTCTATCAAAACAAAACCTTTACGAGATCTGTTGCTCCACACTCTTTATCAATATGCCTCCGTTTGTGTAAAGGCCAATTTTTTTTCCTTGAAAAAGTGCTTTCCGCATGCCGAGCATTTGCGTGATTTTCTCCTGTACGTTTGCGCAAATGCCTAATCAAATCTGATTTGCGTATGAATGCTTTGCCACAGTCACGATATTCGACAGATTTATCACCACTGCAAATTCGTCTGTAAACGTCTTTATCATTTTGTGCCCTAAACCTCTTTCCACTTTCTTTCAAAATGAACGGTTTTTCGCCAGCAAGTTTGCGTTTGTGAGATTTCAATTGACATTTATCGAAAAATTTCTCCTCATATTCAACTCAAGTGAAACTCTTATTTCCACTTTCATCCGATGGTAAGTGTTCATTCGCTCCCTTGGTAATTATTTTTCCCAACTTTCCTCAATCAGCGTAGAATTCTTCTCGGTATCATCCATGTTTTTGACCATGAGACCAACTTCCAAGGAAGTTACCGTTTCACTACTGCTACCAATAACAATGTCAGTTGCTGAAATTCAACAATACCAAGTCATTATTAAAATGATAACAATGTGCTAACTATTTCAGCACTGCATTTTACAATTGCAAATACAATTTTATATTTTTATGGATGAATTATTTCAGTATCATCATTATTTGTACACTCTATCTCTTTTTTATGGCAACACTTAGGAGGGTTGAAAAAGAGAGCTTGAAGCCAATTCGAATCAGGAATGCACACGATGTAGCTCGAATAGTTGTACTTTCATTAAAGAAAACTATTACCATTCAAACGACACAAGTGATGTAAGAATAGCCTAGTAAGTACGTTTGTCTATGTTGGGCTAACTATTTAAACATATTTTGATTGATTACAAAATTATCATAGCTGAAACGTAACTCTCTATCAACTGGAAATCTTAATTCAAATTTCGAATAAATGATAAACCATTTGAATCTCTATGCCTTTCACAGAGTTACAAAATGGAAATTACTTCAAATTTTGCATTTCATTTTGGGTGATGATTGCAACTTTCAAGTGAATTAAGTGGACGGAAAAACGAAACAGTAGACTAACATACCTTGACACGTTGTCGAATTTGTATTCTCTTCATGAACTTCCTGAATGTGTTTATGCAGCTGAGATCTGTCTTCTGATCCATGAGAGCAAGAGGGACAATAAAAATAATGAACCGCAGTGCTCGTGAATGAAGAATCGTCGCCTCCATGGTGGGTCACATTTTCTTCTGCAAATTCATTTGAGCGAATCGGATCGATAGAGTTACCTTCGCCGATTCTACGTAATTCAAAGGCCAAAAGAGAAAAGGAATTAACAAAGCGCTTGTGATGTAAGACAATTTTAACAAGTTGAGTTTACTTTAAGTTATTCCCTAGCTGTAATATTCACATGATACTACCCTTTAATCCCTATTTAAGTAGACACCTCAACAATCCAATTTTGCATTTAACGTAAACTTCAACATTTTAAGCATTGAAAGGACATTTGAGTTAAAAGCAAAATGTCATACTGAAGAGAAGCGAAATGTGTGTTAGTTTCTTGCGGTAAACCTTGTTCCACATTTTCCGGAAGGTATGTAGTATTGTCAGTAAGATCAAAAGAATTCTGCGGCAGCACTGCATCCGGTTTAAGATAATAACTCACGATTTGGTCAATTATTTCATCTGAAAAGTTGTAATACTTCGTCAAGATAGATAAAAAACTAAATCAAACGCATTCCCACAGAATATAAATGAACAACACAGAACGCACATTCAGGAATCTCTTCCATTGGATCGATATCGCCTTCCAACTGTAAATGGTGATGTGTGTCATTGGGGGCTAAATTTACAAATTATAGTGAGAAATTAAAGATGAACTTGGCAAAGAAAATATGGGACTTGGCTCACATTCAAGCAATTGTATAACCCGTTCCGTTAATGGATTGCTCCATGCCAGTCTTTCTTCACGAAAGAAACATTCCGGTGACCATTTCAAATCGTCATCTGATGGCACATTCAAGTTATTGTTCGAAGTCATCCTGTAGATCTAAATCTGATTCTCAGGTTGAAGTGAATAAAAAATGTCTTTCAGCGGGTTCAAAATAAGATTAATAAATGAATCAAGTTTTAAATTTTAATGATTCCTCTTTGACATGATTGGCACTCAAATGATCAATGCTCTTAAAGCCTGCCTTTTATATTTATCATTCTAAGCGTACGCATATTTGCATGAACAAAGAATCTTAGAGAATGAGGTCGGTTTCTCATTGCAAGAGACATTTTTAGTTCTGCAATACTTGATTAAATTAAAAGAATTTGCATGTTTAAAATAGACTTCATCTTTAATACATATACTTTTTCATAAATAATACACATGGATACAAGTAAATTTAATTTATTTAGCAATCTTGCAGTCACATTCGTAGGCGCATCGATTCACACTTAGAAGCAACGGTAATTATTGAGCAATGTCATGATATGAGATATGGCAATCCCTTGTATTAAAAAATTGAAACGATTTCCAAACTATCCACTTCATTGCCTGAGTTACATAATAATGAATATATACAAAATCTTCCAATTAGGTGTAACAAATTACGAATATATAAAACTGTCATTCTTAACACATAAATTTAAAAAATTGTAAAGATTATTATTCTGATTAATATTTCTCCTAATTTTCTAATTTGGACTTATTCAAGTTTGATTAGTGCTTATGTTAACTTATTTGCTATTTATTTAAGCTCTTACGAATCAGGTTGAGTAGAACGCTCGCTAATAGACCCTTAATAAAATAAGGTATAAAGCAATATTCTATGAGCAAAATGAGAACGTATATAAGAGATCAAAGTTTCAAGTATTGCCATTAGCTACGGTCTTATTACCTCTAATATTTGAAAATTTGGTGTTACTTTTGAATAAAACGTATTAGATAGCCACCGCAAATCGCATGACTAGTGAGCAATAATTTGGCCTAACTGCCAGCCATTTTCACAGATTAGTAAACATATGATAAGTGATGTTTTGATAAGCACGCCTAGCCTAATATATGAAATGTCAATTGTAATTCGTTAGGTAGGTGAAAAAATTTTATTACTTTGGGTGTATGTAATGTACCTGTCTACATCTTTCCTCTTTCACTCACTGAAGTTTTATAATTTTGCTCCGGTTAGTCAAAATGCGATTCATCAATATGAATGATTCATGCTTACAATAACCTCGTAGACTAATCGAATTCGCGGAATATTTTTGAGTTGCACGTACTTTGCATTGGAATAGAGTTCTGAATGTGCTTTCTGTGGTTATTCATTTAATTCTGTCGAAATACGTTTGCTTTTATTTTCATCTTTCTTGCACTTTTCTTTATTTATCTTCACGAAGTATTATAACGGTTCATATGAAATAATTGACCAAAACCTGATTCGCTCTTCAGTTCACCTCTCGACATTCTGTGATTTTCCAATTCCATTCTTTAATGGCATAAAGGATTTAAAAGCTATACACAACTTAAAGCTTATTGCATCTTAAAGGTGGTGTTTGAGTGCAGAATAAGGATTGCAAACTGCTACCTTTTTAGAAGTTGATAATTTATTAGCACTGAGATATTGAACGCAGCAAATCGAAACAAAATTCAGAAATAAATGCATTAATTCAATCAAGACGAGTTTAATTAAGAGGAACGCGCGAGGATTTTACATAGTTAGGTATTTGTTTTCAATTGCCCACATCTGACCGCCTGGTAATAAATCTGTTAGATTGCGCTTTTGACACAAGCGTTCTACTTATTTTTTTAGTAGTGACTATATTTTCAAATACATTATTTCGGCAAGGTTCAGATGTTCTAATGCAAGTTGATTTTAACTTTCTTAGTCTGCACTCCAATAAAGAACCATATATCATGCGCTAAGTAACCTTATTGTTATATTTACTTTAAGGCAGCAATAATTAGCCTAACACAAATAATGATTTACTACGACCCGTTTCTACGACAAATAGCAATCATCAAAATTGTTTGATATGCACGAATAGTGCTACCTTCAGTAATATTAAAAAATTATCATTTTATGAAATTAGTATAATTAGGGAAAACTCCTGGCACACTAGTTTTAAGCAATTTTATTTGTCGTCGGGTGTGCGATAGACTTACCTCCATGTGGTGCACCCTGGGCAACGTATACCCATACGGCAAAAAAGTCTATTAACTGGCAGTTGACCTCTGACTTCAAACTTCCATAACCCCACTGTATGTCAAATTCGACCCCTTTCACAGTACTCATCTAGCCTTTTCTCGGCCTTTGTGTCTGTCTGTCTGTCTGTCTGTTACATCAGTGAATCACTCTTCTTTCCTCCTGTCGAATTTTTCTCACTTTAATGTTCCTCCCTTCAGTGAAGCCCGAAGTCAACTAAACGGCTAATGATAACTGTCAAAATGCCTGCCATTTGAAATAAATATAAATAAATTTATCGTCTTGGTGATTATTCACAGAAAATTAATATTCACTGGCATTTGTTCAAAGTTTCAACGCTCACATGTAAGTTTGATAATTAAATAATAAATGTAATATTAATAAAATCAATAACATGCAATTTATTTTGATTTTCGTTTAATTGAATGACGTCCATGGTCAAAAGGTGTCTATGCTTTTCCTCCTACAGATGTGCTAATTAGTGCAAGAATAAGTCTCAGAGATGCAGAGATATTTTAT